TATATATATATATATATATATATATATATATGTCTCGATTGTTTGGCCTTGCTTTTTATGGTGGCATATTTTATTATCCGCTCATCGACATTGTTCCACGACAGGATAATCACGTATTTTACAACGTAAGAAAAGACCAGCTTTCGTTTTTTCAAAGTCTTCTCTCCCTTTTCCGTATTTACCCATTTAGGGTTAATAGGATATTTTCGGTTTTAAAGAGGCATCGAATAAGCGTTGGCGCAACGTTCGCTCGTTGCGTTTCAACGGTTCCGCGCATGCTCCATGATTCGAAGTTTTTCTTCCTTCAACAAGTTTTTGCACAGTAATAAAATTGGTCATGATCTCAAAAGGAGTTAAGACGCTGTTCAGTGTGACATTCATTTTTTGTTTTTAGGAGAGAATTTTACAATTAATTTATTTCTCGATCTCGAGTTATTATTTGTCTCGAATTTTATTTTGAATTGTAAAAAAAAAAAAAAAAAAGAGAGAGAGAGGAACAAATTAAATTTTTTTTACGTTCCGCTCACGACTCGAATAAGAAACTCGTTCCATTTCGGTTCAGATAGACGAGTTGCTTGAACAAATAACCGATCCACGAGTAGCAGTAACGGCGGGAAAGACAATGGCAGAGGCGAGCCAAGATCGTCTCGAGTCGTTTCCTCGTCGCGTATGTCCTCGAAAGCGGTGAAAGCGGCTAACAAAGAGCATCAGAGTGTCGTAATTATTATATTATTTCGAAGCAAACGCCATTTAATTTTTCTCTTTTTTTTTAATCCAGTGAATTTTTCAATCTTTATGAGATGTTTTCATCCTTAGAAAGAAAAGTTATTCCGATATCTTTATCTATCTAATCCTGTATATCTATATTTATAATTGTTGATTCGTTTGTTCTCGAATGTAGAATATAAATCAAGATTAATTAATATTTCGAATTCCTCCTCCTCCAAAGCAAGATAAAATTATTCGAATAATTTTTCGAATGATAAATTAGCATATAGGTAAAGCTATTTTTATTCGTCATTTAATTGAACGATTCTTTAAGTAAAATAAAATTCCATCGAAAGTCCATCGAAAGTTTGTAACGAAGGAACGACACGCGTGACGATAAATTATAAGTTGATACGGCGTTAAATTCGCGTGAAATTTTCGTGAAATAATAGGACAATAAATTTAACAAATTTGCTATATCGAAATCGTTCGACATAGATTAATAATTCTGAAAAAAAAAAAAAAAAAAAAAAAATACGACACGATAACTACTGCCAACTGTAAAACTAATTACACGCATATTACGTAATAATAAAGTCTCAAAGATTGGCGGCAAATTTATTATTATAATCGTCTATTTTAAGTTTCGCGTTTGAAGTTTGTTTTTTTTTTTTGATTAAAAATTTAAACTTTAACGAATTACGAAACGAATATTTCTAAATGAAATGATCGGGAAAAATGTTCGAACGATGAAACGATAAAACCGAAGACAAAAATGAACGATTTAGAGGCTTGAATTTCAAAAAAAAAAAAAAAACGAAACACGGGAAGAAATATTAATGGAGTAATTATTGAACAATAAAATAAAAAGCGATTTTATGGCCGTTAAATCCTCGTCAAACGATTTGTTCTTGCCATAAATTTATCGAAATAACGATAAATTCTTAAACTTATTTATATATAATTGGGCAACATTGAGATCGCGTATAATTTATTTTAAAGGTAATTAAAAAAAAAATAAAGATTAAAGAAAAAAGACATTATTAATGGATGCAATTGCGAAGATTATAAAAAGTTGCCTTATAATCAATACTTGATCGAAAATTCGAAATATATAGTCGTAGTTTTAATCGATTTACTCTACTCCTATCCATTACTACATATTCACGATTTAAATATTTACCGTTTCTCACTTTCTTTCGGATCGATCACCGTATTTCATAAACACGGCGTCACAAATAAATTCGTCGTAAAAAGAAAGGGGAAAAAAAAAGAAAGAGAGAGAGAAGAGAAACGGATCGATCGAACTTCGTGCAAACAACGATAAATAAAGCTTATTACCGCTATTTATCTTCGCTATTAAGCAAGTTTTTGCTGCCTTTAGACTTTATCGTGGAAACACGCTTTGTTCGATAAATTCGGCCAAGTACGTTCTTCCGATACCGCGCTCGATTTCATTGCCCCCGAAACCTTGAACGACGTTATTAAATTGTGCAACTCATCGCACGGCCAGCTTCCTTGTGCGTGGATCTACATTGCGTGGGTGGCCAACAACAATTACGAGAACATCCAACGATCGTCTCTCTTCAACCG